ATGGACAATATATTTGAAAGCAGCACAACAAATGTGGAGGGCATTGGTGGTTGCCTCCCCAGCATCCGTTCCCCTCTTCCTCTGCTCTGACAAAATCTCCAATTTCTTAAACCACACAGTTTGGATAGGATCGAACCCATTTTTAGTTTCAGCCCTGACTCAATCAACGTAATACCATCCACATTGCCAGACCACCTGTTCAGAGATGGGCACAGGATTCAGCCCAAGATGAGCAACATAATTCCCCTGGGGGCAATGACTGGTTTAGAGGTGGGTGAATGTCCAAGTTGGTCCAGTCAGAGTTAAGCTCAAGACTTGTTCAACGTGGAGAAAACACTGGGAGCTGCTGGAAGCCATTTTGTGTCCACGCAGGAACCAACCCTGGAGTCGAGCAGATATTTCTGGAGGGCAGAACAGTCATGGGGAGGGGGTGGGCGGGGTGTGTCATAATACACTGTTAAGCTATTTAGATAAACCCTCACCTAAGCCTAGGCTTGCTCTAGAATTCAGGTGTATGTGCCAATAATCAAGCCAAGTGGAAGTGAACTTGAGCCTAGTCAATAAAAAGAAATTTACACTCAAGCTTTTCAAGAAAGCACTTAAAGGGTTTTACCATTGTCAATAACCTTCCAAAAAGCAGTTAGGACTGGTATTTCTGGTAGGCTAGGTTTCTAACAGCGATGAGGAAACTCGCTGGATATTAATTTAATTTTGCTGCCAATGTAGTACTAGCCACTGATGCCAAAGTCCAGAGATAACTCTCTGTGGGATATTCCATTCAGCGAAACCATCCGAAGGGTCTGAACAGAGTAGGAGAACGGCTACGAGCAGGGGTTAAACTACATGTCTAAGAGCAGTCACGAGAGACTTATTCTCTGAAAGCTATTTGCCCAATTTTCTAACAAATCTATTACTTGGATTTTTCTGTGCCTTTTCCCTCTTTTACTACTTGTTTCTTTTTCTATACACAGTCCCCTCCCCCCATCCTCTACCTTCTCTCATCCCTCCTGCCCAGAACTGCAGTCTGCTGCTTCTGCATGAAGATACATTTACTGTTTATCTCCTTACCCACATAGGCCTTGCTTGATTTTCCCCTATGGTTTAGGCTCCCCTCCTCCAGTTTACAGCACAGAAAAGCTGGACTATTACTACCACAATATATACACCAGGTTTTTTTCTACTATCTTTATGCGATCAGAGACATAAAAATTTTAAATTATGCACACAAATTTTCACCTTTTAACTCTGAGTTTCAAGGAACAAGCATCACTTTTAAAACTAGATGTTTTCAACATGAATCTCTGTTTTCTATACATACACTCACTCATTTTAGGCACTAAAGCCAAGACTGATGTGCTCTTTACTATAATTGCTACCCAGTTGATAGTAAACTGGTTCTTGGACGCACAGCTTATATATTACCTACAATATGGACCCCACCAACAAATGACACTGCCAGACAGGCCGGAATCCTAATCTTTGGGGCTTTTGGTAATTTCTCCTTTTCATCTGCTACCCCTATAGTCACTATTTGAAAAACACTCCTGCCTCTTTTTAAGTGCTATACTTTTCTGGAATGTTTTATCTGAATTCCTGGCATAAGGTTTGAAAGATTTTGATTATGCAAATTCTGTATTCACTCAGTGGAGGCAAAATGCATAGTTTTTGATCCAGCTGATTATCCTTTAGATGCTATTTCCTGTAGTCTCTCTCAGTTGGAAAGAAAATTTAAAACAGCACCCTGAATGAATAAAAAACTCTATAGTACTTTCTGAACCTGAAGAGAACCAGTATCTTTCACAAATACACAAATCCAAAATAATATTACCTTATACCAATACAGTTTCACCAAATCTTAATACAGAACTACAGTCATAATTCACAAATAATCAAAGTACTGCTTCTCTTTATTTGGAAAATTTAACAGGCCACATCAATCTACATCTCCAAAATACCTTTCATGCACTGAGTCAATCGTTAAGCAAGTATTGACTAGGCATCTGTAACGTGCCTGGTACGGTACTGGAGATGTACCAGTGAAGAAAGCAGACACGGCTGCTACCCTCATTAAGCTTAAATTCTAGTGAGAACCTTTCATCCAAACACCACATCTCACATATGTGAAATACACTGGATGAAACCAAAGTCAATTCATATTCTTAGCAGTATATTTATATAAGCCTTGTATAAGATACTATGTGCACACTGTATTTCTCTTATCAAAATTTAAGCATTTCAAATATGCTTGCATCTTCTTCTGCACTGTTCCCCTGGCAAAATCATAAACATGTGCCTAACGCTTCAAAAGAACCATTAGCAGATGCAGACTAAACCTGCAAGGACAAGGTCTGTACGGGCATACACCTGGTGACACTGTCCATAACAGAAAGGAAATACTGAATTTTGAAAATATCTTGGCTCACATACTTTAAAACCTTAAAGATATACTATATTCTCATCAAAAACACATTTTAAAGGCTATATATTTGATGACAAAAGAAAAAATCATGCCATAAAAATAGGACCTAAAGCATATAATCCAGGCCACTCACGTCTAAAGAGGATGACAGCTTAGCCCAGCTATTTCAGGTGCTGAGTCCATCTCCTAAAGCGCTACCTGCTACATTACCGCTTGTTCAGCAGTTGACGGACACCACGAACACTACACGGACAACCAGAACCCCCAAGTCATTTGAGAAGTTAAGGGATTTTTCTCAACAGACATAAAGCCTAGACACAGAAGGGCCACCTCAGAGGATTTCAGCTTTTCTCTCAATGGGACAGTTTAAACGGTAGAAAAGGAAAGATAGGTTTTATTATGTAGTAACAATAAAATTTGCTTGAGTACATTTTTTGTTTTGACAGCACCACCCAGATTTTGGGATAGGAGGAAAGAAAGCAGCAAACAGGAGGATCCCTAAAGACACTAAAAATCGACAAAGGAATGAGGTTCGCTCAGGCAGAAGTAAGCTGCCCTGAGGTGGCCTGTGAATGTGCTGTGCAGGTATCAAAAGCCTTAAAAGTGTATTTTGACTCAGTAATTGTAGTTCTGATAGTTTATACAAAGGAAATAATCAGACCACCACACATGGACACTTAAGGACGTCCAGTTATTTATAATGGCAAAAAGTCAGCAGTGAGAGATCAGAAAGAAATTCTGTCAGCAGAATAAGTTAGGCAGCCCTGTCGGAAATTACTCTAACATCCTCACTGAACTCAACCACTGGGCTTGCAAACTGCCTTTGCCTCTTTGTTGTAACCGCTCAACGGTAAGGACCGCCTAAGGGTACACTCAGAGAACTCACGACTATGCTGCCATTAAAACTCAGCTTGTTACTAAGAAGAAAGCAACTTAAAGACTATGAGCATATTTTAAAATTAACCTAACCACTCGGCCAGCGGGCTGGCCCCTCTGACTTCTTTTCAAAAGAAGTGAATTTAGTTCTTTGGAAAGATGCCAGCTTGACAACTGTGGAAACTCTTCACTTAGAGCAAAGCAGCAACAACCTGACCAGGTGGGACCACTAGGTTGACTAACATTAACTGCATGATAGACCCTTTCAATACTTAGCTCCTTTAATGTTCTTCCATAAAAAGAAATGGAAGTAACATATTGTAGGCTAGTGGGAATGAATCCAAATCCAAATCCAATTAGTTACTCTGAAAGCATCCTTTTCAAAGATTTATTTTCTTGCTTGAATATCTGCAAGTAATCCTTAATTGCTGCTAATGAAGGAATGGAAAGCTGTTAAGTGCAACGGCCTCAGGCACTACCCTAATAAACTCCCTACTTTTTAATCAGCCCAGGCAAGAGGTGCTGGCTACTGCAGTTTCCTCCATCACAAGGCAAGACGCTGGTGCTCTAGGAGAATCGGCAGCCAGAGGGCACTGTGAAGGGCGCTAGGGAGATTCACCAAGACAGGGCAATGCATTAGTAGGAAGCCTCACAAAGGCTCTCCAGGCTGTGTAACTCTCCCAGTTTGGGATACAAAGAATTTTTTAAAAGACCATCTCACTAAAAACAATAAATCAAAATCACTGAGTACAAAATCATTTTATTTATTTTTGAGGAAGATCAACCCTGAGCTAACATCTGGTGCCAATCCTCCTCTTTTTGCTAAGACTGGCCCTGAGCTAACATCCATGCCTATCTTCGTCTACTTTATATGTGGGACGCCTGCCACAGCATTGGCATGCCAAGCGGTGCCATGTCCGCACCCGGGATCCGAACCGGTGAACCCCGGCCCGCAGAAGCAGAATGTGCGCACTTAACTGCTGTGCCACCTGGCTGGCCCCCAAATGATTTTAAAAAATTATTCTTCTTGGCTTGAGAAATGACTTTAATAATACGGCCAACTTGTTTAAAATTCCCAAGGAAGATGAATTAATAGAGTGTCTTAATTCAGGAATGCTCCCCCCTTGTCTTCTTCTCAGGAAAGGCCATGGGGAGATGAAGGGAAGAGATGAATGAGAAATCCTCCCTGTCGGTGAAGAACCACCAAAAACTCTTGGTTGTGAGAACAGAGTAACTCGCTGATCACCTACAGTGATAAGTACAAAGAGCTCAGAAACACTTCATCATAGTTATTTTCGCAAAGTTCTCAACCACTACTCGTTTGTCATAAGGAATATATGTAGGTAGCAGTCCAAGCTGCAACTGAAATACTCAAGTCAAGACGATAATGCATAATAAATTCTATTTTACGCAGAATGTCCTACACCTAAAAATTGCTGTGCCAGGCCTGTGAGGTCCTCTAACAAGACTCCGAACATCTGGAAGACTCCAAAAGGACCCAAAGCCACCGGCTGTATTAAAAAAAAATTACTAATACTCTAAACCATATTAACGTCTGTTTTCTGAACAACAACAACAAATCAGCTCCCTCCCTAACACCCCTACCGCCCAAGCTCTCTAAAAACGCATTGCCGCCTCTGAAAGAATCAGGCGCATGATATCCAAACTAACGCAGCTCTCAAAACAGGGCACCCCTTAAAATTACGTTGTCTCCGACGTTGGACGCGTCCACCAGCAGATGAGAAGCATTTCAACACATCTTCCCGACCTCACTTTCTCCCGAGGTCCCTCGTGAGCCCTCCCACAGGTTGCTGGCCAGCATCACGGCTCGCCAGCACTTTCCAGGCCCCTGCTGATGTCCAACACCTGCAGCCCTCTGGACCGTCTGAACTTGTCCCTGCACTGCCCCCGAGGAAGTCCCAGGCCGACCCGAGCATCAGCAAGCCCGACCGGGGCTCTGAAGGGCCGAGCTTTCGGGAAAAGGCCCTGGAGGACCCAGGCAGAGACAGAGCAAGTGCAGTGTGGCCCGGGCAGCCGAGCCACAGTGGCCAGGCAGGACCGCCCCTAAGTGACACTCGTCACATCAACCACTAATTGTTTAAAAGGAAAAAAGCTAGAGACGCCGCAGGAGGCGGAGGGGCGTGGGAGCGCGGCAGGGCGGGGTGAAACCACGCTCGGAGGATGCGGTCGGGAGGGGGCGAGAGGCCGCGCCCCCCGGGCCTCCCCACCGCCGGGACTCCCTCCTCCGGGAGCCGGCGCTTCGGCCCGAGGAGGGCCGGTAACCGGCCGGGGCGGCCCGAGGGCGCGGGGCGGCGCCGCGGACGGGGATGGGGGCGCGGGGGCGCGCCGGGACGCTCACCCGCCGGCGAAGAGGTGAAGCAGCGTGTTCTCCTTCTGCTGAGTGCCGGTCGCCATGGCCGCGCCAGCTCCCAGGCCCGCCGCCGCCGGCTGCCGCGGGCGCGCGGAGGCTCGAGGGATGCGCGAGGCGGTCTGCTGCGCTCGCCCCGCTGCCCGCAGGCGGCCGCCAGAGCCGCCTCCACGCGCGCGCCCCCTCGCCCGGCGCCCTCGCTCCGCGCCCTCCGCGGCGTGGCCGCCGGCGCCTCAGCGGCCTCTGCGGCGCGAGCCCGGAGGCCAGCGGGAGCCCGGCGCGCGGCCGTCACGTGGCGGGGGCCGAGCCCTGACGTCGCGCGGCGGCGCGGGCCTGGGGCGGTGCGCGGCGGGGGTGTGGGCCCGGACCCTGCGCGCCTATTGGCCGGCGGGCGAACGTGGGCGGGGCGACTGCGCTACCGGGGGCGAGGGCCCGAGCGGATCGCACGGCTGGGCGGGATCGGCCTGGGCCAATGTGCGTGGAGTGAGAACCGGCCGAGGCTGCCTGGTCTCTGCTCAGACGCAGAGAAACTGGGCTTGGCAAACCTAGCGAGACCCCGGGCCCAGCCTTTTTCTTTTTTTAAAAAAATCTATGTTTAGTTTACTTTGTGATACTTAGGATGTGCAAAAAGGCCTATACATGACATATTACACCTCACAGCTCTGTACTCACTACCCAGCTTAGGCGAAAAAACATGATGAAAACAGCCTAAACTGCCAGTGTACCCTTAGTATCATTTCGTGTATTTTTAGTTTTTCTATAAATAGCATTATATGCTGTAAAACGCTTTTTGGTGTATCCTTTCTGATTATCTCCAGCCCAGACTTCTAAGCTCCAAGCTTCTATATCCAAGACGCTTCCCAATTTGTATGTCCTTGGGTCACTGTCAGACTCATCCTGGCCTCTTCTTATCTCCAGGTTTCTATAGGCGGGCCTTCCCTGGTCACCCTTGCAGCGTATTCTATCACATGACTCCATTTAATTTCCTCCCGTAGGCTCCCGCAGTACTTTGTTGACTGACTTGTTTAAGCTGTCCTTCTGCCCCTGGAGTATAAGCTTCAGGAGAGCAGGCACCTTGTTTCTTTTGTTCAGGGTTGTTCCTGACAAGGTACCTGCTGCTAGTAATGCCCAAGAAACTAGTGGATAAATGTCCTGAACTAAACTCATCCTTGCATTCTTCCCCTCCCCCCAAACCTGCCCTGCCTCTTGTATTTCCTGTCCTGGTGGTGACACCACCATCGGCACAGTCACCAACCCAAGAAACTTTCCTGTTACCTTAGACTTCTCTCCTTCTCTCTCCCTCTCACTTTCTCTCAGCATCCCATCAGCCACCTGGCACTTCTATCTCCTGCTATTCTCCCAAAGCCATATCCTTCTCTGTGTTCCTTCCATTGCTGCTGCTGATTTCAACACTTGATGTCTCTCACCTACTTTCTGGCAAAAAAATCTTCTACCTGCTCGGACAGGCCATCCCTCCACCCCTTAGTCTGTTACTCCCCACTCTCACCTCCTTCTAGAAGCACCAGGTACTTAATATATCAACCCTTTGTTTTCAATCTCCCGGAGCTGTGGAAAGCAGTACCTTGATCAGACTGAGCTGGTAGATGTCCTGTGTGTAAACACAAAGAGAGCTTAAGTAGAAAGGAAATTGTGCGCACACACAGGAGCTGGGTATTTGATTGCTGGCACTGTTTAAAAACAACTCTTAGGAGCAGTCATCCAAAAATACAAATACAGTGAGCATTCTATATTAAAACCATTACTCCCAGGCCTAGAAAGGCGGAAAAACCAGACTAGTGCTCCATATATGGGAAAAAGAGGGAGGAAGGAAAGAAGGCAAGCAGGAAGAAAAAAAGTGAATTTCTTCATGCTTCCCGGATCTCCCAGACCCCTTGCTTTCGTTGCTTAGGAAGTCAGCATTGGTCTTAGCTGAAGATGATTTGTGAGGCATGAGCAGGAAGGGAGGAGAAAGTAACGTGACTCTGTTAACCAGGAGGGAGCTGCTCCCATCCAGACAGGATTCTAAACCCGAGGAGATGCCACCCTTGGAGCACAGCCCTGCATCTTGGCTCCTCTCTCACAGGGGGGTTTGGAGCCTGGGACCCAGGCTTCTAACGCCACGGCAGCACCCAGTCTCTTGCCTTCTTTCCCCAAGGACAGTCAGCATAGGCTGTGCTGGACACATAAACAGGCGTCCCCACCTCCTTGTTAATGGTAATGCTGCCTTTGTATAAGAGTTTTTCCAAGGTCTTTCATGTATATTATCTTGTTGGATACTCACAAAGTTTGGCAGCCCTGTTGTTTTCATTCCCTTTTTATGGATAAGCAGGATAGATTTACCCAAGGTCACATAGCTGGTTAGTGGCTGATGCAATGATCTTTCATACCTCCGTGCCTTGAAACACGCTGTTGCCTAGGATGCGCCCTTCCTCTGCCAGCCAGATGCCTTCTGGTCCTCCTCTGAGACCAGCTCGGAAATCAGCTTCTCTGTAAAGCTGCCCTCTGTGCTTCCCGCTCCGTTCTCTACCACTTAGCAGAGGGACTGTGGCTGTGGCTCCTAGGCCCTGTTGCTGCGCCATATTGCAACGAGCTGCACCAGCATTCATTGCCTGGCATACGTGTTGGTGGGAGTGAGTTCTGGGACAACATTTTCAGAGGGAATTCGGTACATTTCTGTCAAAATGTCATGATGCTCACATCCTTTGACCCCGACATCAAGGAAGTGATCTGATTCCTTCATTCATTCAACATATTTATTGAGCATTTACTCTGTTGAGGGCAGTGTTCTAGGCTCTGCGGGTACACCAGAGATTAAAATGGATAAAAAAAACTTTTAGTGAAACAGTCACAACCAAATCCCCTGATGTATCAGAAGGATACTACATCATGACCAAATGAGATATGTCCCAGGAATGAGAGGTTGGTTTAACAATTAAAAGTCAATCAATAAAATTCAGCATATTAATAGAACAAAGGAGAAAAAACAGATGATCGTGTCAATAGATGCATTTGGAAAAGCACTTGGCAAAACTGAACACCCATTCCTGAGAACAAGAAGGAATTTCTCTACCTGATAAAGGATGTGTACAACAAACCTACAGCCAGTATGGTAATCAACGGTACACGACTGCCTGCCTGCCACCCTAAGATCCATCGGCAAGAAGAAACGATGTCTGCTCTCACCACTTATTCAACATGGTACTGGACGTCCTAGTCAGTGCAATGAGGCAAGACAAGGAAATAAAGGCATAAAGATCAGAAGGAAGGAAAACTGTCTTTAGTTAAAGATGATAGAATAGTTTAGTAGGAAATCCTAAGGAATCTATATAACAACTGCTAGAACAAATTGGTGAATTTAGTAAGATCATAGGAGACAAGGTCAATGTACAAAAAAGAAACACTTTTTTTGCCAGCTGCCAACAATTTGAATACGAAATTTTTAAAAATTCTATTTGCAATAGTATCAAAAAAAGTTCCACCACCAACAAAGAAGCCAGAGGTAAAAAAAAAAAAAAAAAAAAAAAAAAAGTACGTGGTTTCATTTATATGAAATTTTAGAAAAGGCAAAACTAATCTACAGACATAAGAGATCAGTCGATGCCTGGGGCTGGGGAATGGACTGCAAAGAGACCAGAGGAAGTTCTTAGGGTGATGAAAATGTTCTGTATCTGGATCGGCTTATATATGTTGGTCAAGATTCATCAAATTTACACTTAAAATGAGTGCATTTTATTGTATGTAAATTATATCTCAATAAAGTTGATTAGAAAGAAAGAAGGCAAGACAGATTACATATATAATATATGATAACATAGCAAGTTTAGAGATGACGGAGGGCACAGACACTTGTCCACAGAGATCCACTTGGACGTTGCTGAGTTTCAGACCAGGGCCTCCCTCCCAGACTTGGTGGGGCGGAGGAGGAGAGGCTTGTTTGGGTTTTTTGTAACCATTTGAATTTTGAAGGGCCTGAGGCTTCCTGCTGACCTGCTCCCGCTTGTTTCTTGCTTTCTTTCTCTGACTCTTGGCTGTCAAATCTCTAATTGCTTTTTTAATCCTTGTTTTTCTGCAAAAGCTGCTGGCTATTGGAAAACCACCCCCACCCTGAGGGGCTGAGATTTGATATCTGCACAGGGAATTATAAGGAGCATTTCGGTTTTGCAGAGGGCCTAAGGCTGGGGCAGGGCGGGTGTCTCCCCTGAGAGGCCCCACCTGGAATGAGCCGCTGAAAGGCCTGGGTCTGCTCAGGGGCTGGAGGGCAGCAGGGGCGGGGGGTGTGGTTGGGGGCAAAGGACGCATGGCCAGCAGGCCGCTGTTCTCTCTCTCCTTTCCTTTCTCCTGAACAGATGCAGCCTGAGCCAAGTTTCCGGCCACAGTCCTAATGAGGCTCTGCAAGCCGAGCTCCTCGTTCATGAAAGGCCCGGCTGTTCCGGCTCCGGCTGCGGCAAGGACAAGCCACTGGCAGCCAGTCTCCCTCTCCGTGTCTGCCAGGCTGGAACGCGTTTTTCCAAACTCTTCGCGAGCCCATTGTCCTTGCCCTCAGGTTTCCCCAACCATTTCTTAGAAGGAAAGCACCTTGGGTAAAATGTCAATTCTAAGAGGCCCAGACTTGTGTTCCAGTATATTTTGAATAATTCTTGGAACTTGATGGATACTCAATATTAACCAATGACGCTTGTAGCCGGACTATCTGA